CGGGGCCCAAGCGCAGCCCGGGGACTTGGCCGAGTGCAGAGCCAGGCTGCAGGCGCTGGTGGAGCGCGTCACGGGGCAGCCAGGTGAGGACTTGCCACGGGGATGGATCCAGCCACCCCACAGGCAGCGGGGACTTGGACCAGCTCAGCCAGCCAGCTCTGGGTCCCACAGGGTTCAGAGCCACCTCCCTGCAGCAAAACGAGCCCAAATTCACTCTTGTAGGGTGCTTATTTCCACTGGCTCCAAGATTTGCTACTTTGCTTATATGGCCAGAGCCCCTTTTTGGTCTCCCACCAATCTGACAGGCTCTGGTGATGCTGATTTCTGGATCCCCAGAGGCTCCTAAACCCCTTGGGCCATCCCAAACTGACGGGCTGGAAAATGGGAAGCTTGCTGCAGCTGCTGGGCAAGTTTTTCCTGGCTCAGCTGCTGCTGGGGCTGGGTGGGAGCTCCGGAGGCTCCGATTTGGGATTGCAGCCCTGCTCTCTCCCTTGCAGGTACCAATTCCCAAGCTGTCCCCATGGTCGAGGTGGCCCTGGAGAACGACCAGGTGAGATGTCCGTGTTTCGTCCCGGTGCGCTGCCATACGGGGAGGGCTCCTGCATCAGCCGAGACCTGGACCCCCCCAATTCCTCTCACCCTTGCAAGCCTTTCCCAAGGGACTGCCTTCCCCTTGCCAGCCCATCACTCCCATTTCTTTGTTAACAACAAACCCTCAGGGATGTTTCTGCCTGGGCAGAGAAGAACCTGCTTTGTAGCCATCGGTTCCTGCTACCCAGGCGTGCTCCTACCCCATCCCGCTTCCCCAAGCCTGCTGCTTCATCCCTCATTTTTGGCAGGGAAAACCGTAGCCTCCCCTGGCTGTAGGACTGCCAAACGCCCGCAGCTCAGGCACAAGCCTTGAGCCAAGCCAGAGGGCCGGGCTGTGCCTCAGTTTCTCCCCTGCTGAGGGTGTTTCTGCACCCCCCGGCTCTGCCCGCTGCTCGGGGACACCCCAACCCTGCAGAGGGGTCGGTGGTCTCGAGGTTCACCCTAATGCTGCTCCACACTCTCTCCGCAGCAAGAGGAGCCGGTCCAGCCCGAGAGCCAGAGCGTTTTGCCCACCTTCACCATCAGCCTCGAGGAGATGCACACGAGCCCGGTAAGAACCGCCTTAGCCAGGCAGGAGCCTTTGGGGACCAGGAGATGCCACCCTGGCACCTTACATCCCCCATGCCCTCCTGTCTCCAGGCTCTCCCCGTCACCACATGTCCCAAGCGGAGCTTGCACTGTGTGGAAAGGGGCAGTCAGATGTCACCCAAGCTACTGAAGCTGGAGCACGACACCGTGCCGGCCCCCAGCGATCCTAGTTCAAACCAGTGGGATGACAGAATGGGGCCCAGCACCTCCGTGCCGAGGCAGAACTGCAGGAGCGTCCCTGCTGCCGGCAGCCACACGGATGATGCAGGTGGGGACCGGGGACGTGGCCCTCCTCGTTACCCCATCTCTTCCTCCCCCTTATGGGAGTCCCCCATCTTTCCCAACCTCTGTGCACCCCCATGCACTCAGAGCCTTGGCCAACCTCCCCTGGGTCAGAGAAGCAGAGGGTGGGAGCTGATTCCCAGGGGGTAAATACGAGAGCAATGCTCAGGGGTGGACGCAGATGCTCCATCCAGCTCCATGTCCTGCCTCCGAGGTAGCCAAAACCAAGCCTAGGGAAGAGCATAGCAGCAGGGCAAGTGTGCAGAGAGACTCCCCTGCCTCCTGCTCCAGGAGCTCTGGATTTTCCTGGGGCAAAAAACGCTACAATTTTTAGCAAGACACATTTTCTTCCCCGAGCTCACCCAGCCCCACTCCAGCCTGCTGCAGCATCCCGCAGCAAGGGGTCCCGGGCTCAGCTGCAAACAGGAGGGAGGATGAAATGCATATTCTGGAGAGGCTGGGGGAAGGTG